CTGCTGCGCGTCGGCTTTGTAAAGACGCTGGCCGAGGCGCCCGCGGCGTGGAGGCAACGCAAGTGGGAGCCGTAAAACAGTACACCCGCTCTCTCTCGACATGACGCCAGTTCAAGTGGGATTCGTCGGCGGCCGAAACGGACATTCACTCGGCGACCAGGCTGGCCTCAGGCCGCGCCGCATCGCCCTCGTACTCTGGACGGAGGAGGGCTCTATCAATCGCTTGCGTCAGGCTCGACTTGACGCGTGCGCTCAAGCTGGTGGACCTGTACGAGACGTGCGCGGTGACTCGATGCTGAAGGACGATGCTCCAGGACGGGTGGCGCTGCAGCTCGGTCGCAGAGAGCATCGGCAACAGCGTCTGCGTGCGCGCCTTTGAGGAGCACCGAAGTGCGGAGGGAGGCGGCGAAGGACGCCGGCCGCGCGCGTGGAGGACCGAGGAGGCGGCGCGCCGCGGCGCTGCCGGCGGAGCTCGAGGCGGGTGGGGCCATACCCGTGCTCGTTGAAGGAACGCAGCGGCGTACAACGCTGCAGACGGCTGACACACACTCAACCTTTCCGGGCACGCGTGAGTCTGACTTTGAGACCACGGCCCGGGGCGCGGGGGGCGGGCGGCGGCGGCATGCCGGTAATTCTGAGAATCTCTAAGACTAGGTCGGTAAGTGCAAAGTGGTGTCCTTTTCAGAGAGATTCGTGATAAAAAGAGTTCGCTACTACTACCACTTGAGTAAACTCGGTCGCTCGGAGGGGTGTACTGCTGGTCCTGCAAGACGGAGCAAGAGAGCCACACATGCGCTGCAAAATCTCACACATGAACCGGAAGACCCCCTTCTTGTACAACCTCGCGCAATAATAACACCGCCACTAGCTAAGCTCGCCTACCCCGTGATAGAGAAAATAGAGCGTCCCTCGTCAGCGTGCAGAGCTCCGGTCGACACAAGAGACATGGCGAATCCGCCACGCCGGGCTCGTTCGGCTGCACGCTCGCCCGCCCACGCGAATCGCTCACGAGGCCAGCAAGCTCGGCCGCCCCACGTCGAAGATGTCGTGGTGCTCGATGGAGAAGCCGCTGTGGCCGCGCACGAGCTCGACCAGCCCGAGGCCGGGCGAGATTGCGATCTCGGGGATCTGCTCGATCGGCGTGCCCGTGAAGTAGCCGAGCAGGACCTGCTCACACCGAACGCCGTGAAGGGGGCGTGGCGCCACGCCCCCGCCGCGCGTTCAGCGGCCGAGCAGCGCGCCCGCGCGACCGCCACGTCGCAGACCACCGCGACGTCGGTCCGCATGCGCTCGAGCGCGAGCACCACCTCGCGGCAGTTGGTCACGAGGTCCATGTACGATTCGCCTATCTCCCGCGCCGTCGGGTGAGCTCGCCGCGATCTCGCCCAACCTCGCCGCGAGGGTCGAGGTGCGACGCGCCCCCCACGCCGGGGTAGCGATAGTGCAGCGGGTCCTTCGCCCGCGCCGCGTACCTGCGGACGTGTCGGGTGGGCGTGTCAGGTGTGGGCGTGTCAGGTTGTTTGGACGTGTCGGGGGTGGATGGCAAGTCGGTGTCGGTGTCGGTGTCGGAGGCGGTGGCGGTGGCGGCGGGACTGTCGCACTCTTCGGGGAAAGAGTGGCGCAGCTTGCCGCCCGGAAGGGACTCGAGCGAGCCGAAGCACAGCTCGTTGAGAGCCTTGAGAGGGAGAGGGATGCTGGCGCTCCAGTCGCCTGTTCACAGCAGCAGGGTGTGAAGAGACGCTGTTCACACCTCCTCGGGATGCTGGCGCTCCAGTCGCCGCGCTCGCCGCGCTCACCGCCGCCGCCGCCGCCGCCGCTCCCGCCGCCGTCGCTCTCGCCGCCTCCGCCGCCGCCACCCCCGCCGCCGCCCTCCCCGCCCTCGCCGCCGCCGCCGCCTTCTGCTGCGCGACGAGGCCACTCCTCGTTGACGTCGCCACCGCCGCCGCCGCCGCAGCGGCCGTAGTGCGGGCTGGCGTGGCCTAGGATTCGGGTACGGGGTTGCAGGGGCAGGGGAAGGGTTGGGGCTGGGTTGGCGGCGCGTGGCCTCCCCCTCCTCCGCCGCCGCCGCCGCAGCGCAGCAGCTCCGCCACCTCGAGGTACCTCCGCAGCGTGCCCGTCAGCACCTGAGCCGTGCCCTAGGGTTAGGGTTAGGGTTAGGGTTAGGGTTAGGGGTTAGCCCGTCAGCACCTGAGCCGTGCCCGACGCGACGCACGGGCGCGAGCGGACCAAGTCGCACGCCGCAGCCGAGAAGAGGCGGCCGCGCGCCTGCCGGGAAGGCTCCGGGTAAACTCCGGGAAGGCTCCGCACGCCCGAAGGAGGGTGCAGTCCGAAGCAGGGGGTGTGGGGCAGGAGATGTCAGAGGAGGGAGTGACTACTTACTCGCGGCCACGCGCCGAGAGGGCGGTGTCGCCGCCGCGGATGCCGGCGGCGTCATTCTCGCTCTCGCCTAAAGGGGATACGCCTCCCCACGCCTCAGCACGTCTCCCCACATCTCCCCACATCTCCCCACATCTCCCCACATCTCCCCACATCTCACCCGCGAGGATGATCGAGATCTTGCGCGGGAAGACGTGGACGGCGTGCAGCAGCGAGACCTACAGGAAGGTTCAGAGAAGGTTCCGAGAGGTTCGCGGGAAGACGGTGGACGGCGTGCAGCAGCGAGACCAGGTGCGACATGAGGAAGGTGTTGCACCCCGAAGCGACCAGCCTGCGCACAACACCGCAGCCGGCGGCTGTGAGCCGGTGCGACACCGAGCGACAGGATCGCCGTCCTCCGCCCGGCGACGGCGGAATCTTGGCTGATTCGCGGCTCCATCGCGGCTCCATCGCGGCTCCATCGCGGCTGCATCTCGGCTACATCGCGGCTCCATCGCGGCTCCATCGCGGCTCCATCGCGGCTCCATCGCGGCTGCATCTCGGCGACATCTCGGCTACATCGCGGCCTCCATCGCGGCTCCATCTCGGCGACATCTCGGCTACATCGCGGCCTCCGCCCCGCGTCGACTGTCTGCACGAAGCGCAGCCGCCCTCCGTTGGTGTCAAACTCGCCCTCGTAGCCCTTCGCCTCGTCCTCGCCGATGGTCTCGTACACCTTCTCATACTCGCGCACGCGCGCGAGGAAGTCGACCAGCGCCCGCTCCGGGTCTTGCTGCGCGTAGTCGCCGTTGCTCAGCTTGAGACGGTACGAGTGGCGCAGAATCTCCTCGTCGTTGCAGATGGACTCGACAAAGACGAGGCGGAGCGGCATCGCGCTGAGCCGCTCCGCCCGCGCGCACCGCTCGATGACGGCGCGCCGCCGCGCGACGGTCGTGTTTGTCGCGTCGAAGATGCCGCACGCGCAGCCCGACCAGGTCTCGTCACACGCGTGTGGCGCCTCGAGCCAAGCTAGCAGGTCATCCAGCGTCTCCATCGCGAGCTGGTCGCGCTGCTGCTTCGCGTCCGAGTTGGAAGGGTCGAAGAAGGACGAGGCGGCGCCGGCGAGACCCTGGTCGCGCCGCCGGCTCCCCGCGTTGAAGAGCTTGACCGGGCAGCCCAGGAAGGTGAAGTAGTGCTCGATCGCCCTCGACGTGTACGACTTGCCCCTCGCGGGAAGTCCGACCATGGCAATGACCACCCGCTCTCCGATCACTGACATGGGGTTGACGGCGTACCGCGACCGCGACGACGGGATCCTCACCAATTGCGTGGGAGAGCTCGGCACGGAGCCGCCACCGCCACCGCCCGAGCCGCCACCGCCACCGCCCGAGCCGGACGAGACGAGCGGCGGCGCGCTGAGCAGGCGCTCCACCTCTCGCATGCGTGACCGCTGAGGGTACTAGATGAAGCCGCGGATGTTGATGTCGGCCTAGTGCTCGGTGGTGGCCCCGGTGGTGCAGGCAGGCCTCTTGTCAGAGAATTCTTGGAGGCCCACCTCCAAGCCCTGATACAACAAAAACACCCATGCCCTCACCGGAAACTCGAGCGAGCCCAAGCAGCGCCGGGACGCTCCTCTCCACCGTGATGCTCCTCGCCATCGTCGTCACCACGACGTGGCTGCGGACGGGCGTCGCCCACGACATCGTGCGCCCGCTCTCCAACGTCGCCGAGATCCCTGCTTCGCCTGCCAGGAGCGGCGTC